AAAAAAAAAAAAAAAAAAAAAAAAAAAAAAAAAAAAAAAGAAAGAAAAATGAAAGGGGTAAATGTAAAAGCAACTAAGCAAATAGTTCCTCATATTTCACAATAGAATAGAGCTAAATCTATAACTGAAAAAAACCAAAAAAGAACATAAGCATGTTTAGAAATATGGTGGGATATATAAAAATGAACAGTTAAATGAATTGAAGAGGGTTGCATCTGAGAAGCAGAAATGGAGAGTTTGTATGCTTATTGTTATTAATTTGTTATAAACAATTTGATTTTAAATTTTAAAAACTATATATACATAACAGTGATTAAATAGAAATTAAAGGTAGTAAGAACAACTATGTGAAATTAGATTAGAATTGGTGATATCAACTTGAACTCATGATTACTAATAATAGTTTTTTTCTTTAGTTCCATCTGCTGAAAAGGCATAAATGCAATGACACTTAAGTCACAATAAGCTTGCTGAGCCCCCAGATACTGTTCTTTAAGTACCATTTTCTACTGAAAGGTGTCAGGACACTTTGCAGAAATGGCTCCCTTCAGTGCTGGGTCAGAAAAAGCCCAAAATAAAACTAGAACATCTTGTTGTACCACAAAGTAAAGAACTGCTAAATATATACATATGTTCTATCAAAACAGCTAGGTTGAAAGGAGCTCTCACTGAACAAATCCCAATTTGAACACCAAAATAAGTAATGATTGTAATGGATTATAACCCTTTTGAGGAAATGGATTATAACTGATTCAATAATCTGGGAATCCCTAAATCCATATTCATCTATGCTATCTGTGATAACACAGATGCTCCTTGACTTGTGAGGGGGTTAGGTCCCAATAAATTCATCATGAGTCAAAAATATCCTAAGTCAAAAAATGCATTTAATACCCTAATAAATAAATGCATTACAAAGACAAAATATCATAAATTGAAACATAATAAGCTGGGGACCATCTGTATATCTTTAAACAGGGCAAAATGTAGGGGCCTTCTTTTTTTTTTTCTTGAGACAGGGTATCGCTCTGTTGCCTAAGTTGGGGTGCAGTGACATGAGCTTGGCACACTGTAGCCTTGGCCACCCAGGCTCAAATGATCTTTCTACCTCAGCTTCCCGCGTAGCTGGGACCACAGGTGCACGCCACCTCCCCTGGCTAATTTTTGTGTTTTTTGTAGAGACTGGCTTTCCACTGTTTTGCCCAGGCTGGTCTCAAACTCCTGAGCTCAAGCGATCTGCTCACCTCAACTTCCCAAAGTGCTGGGATCACAGACTTGAGTCACCATACCAGGCGGGGCTCTTCTTTTTGGCAAAACTGTTTCTAATAAATACGGAGAGAGAACAATTATCATTTTGTAACTATCATAGTAAAGACTAGTTTAGGAAAAATCAATAATACCGCTAAATTGTGAGAGGGATTTGCTGAGGAGTAGGATACTTGCATTAAATTCAAGTGTCTCTCCCATAGATTGCTTGTTAGTTGCAAGTAGAAATCAAATTAACATCATTAATGAAAGACAAACAATATCATGTGTCTCCAAATGTGGTATCCTGGAAAGAACATAACCTCACGTATGTAATATTACAATCAGAAATGCATAACCTGAGTTTAATCATGAGGAAACATGAGATAAACCCAAATAGGGAAGATTCTGTAAAAATAACTGGCATGCCACACACACACACACACACACACACACATACACACACACACATATACACACACACACACATCCCTAACGGTGGTGACAATGTGTTATTTGATTGTTGTATATATATATCAAATCATCATGCTGTACAACTTGAATAAACACAATTTTTGTCTATTATACCTCAGTAATACTGGAATGAACAAATGGTAAATAATTGGCCTGCACTCTTCAAAAATCTCAATGTCACAAAAATACAAAGGCTGAGGAACTCTTCCATATTAAAGGAGACTAAAAAGATATGGCAACTAAAGATACTACGTGATCCTGTACTAGATCTATACTGAAGGGAAAAATGCTAAATAAAGACATTACTGGAACAACACAATTGTTCCAGTAATGTCTTTATCGAAACATGGACTGTAGATTAGATTAAATATAAATATTGTATCAATGTTAAATATCCTTATTTTGATAAATACACAAGAGGATACCATTATTCTTAAGAAATTCACATTTTAGAAATGAGGTAAAAGAACATAGTGTATAAACTTTTCTAGATTCATAAAATACAAATATTAAGCTTACATGATTTATATAGTATTATATATTATTTATATATTCATACATGTATATTACACATGAAGAATACTAAAACACGTATGGCAAAATGTTAAGAATTGGTGACTGAGTAAAGGACAATAGGAGTTCTCTATTATTCTTACAACTTTTCTGTAAGTTTAAAATTGTTTTTAAAAAATGGGCCAGGCATGGAGGCTTATGCCTATAATCCTAGCGCTTTGGGAAGCCAAGGCGGGCAGATCACCTGAGGTCAGGAGTTCAAGATCAGCCTGGCCAAAATGGTGAAACTCTGTCACTACTAAAAATACAAAGATTAGCCAGGTGTGATGGCACTGCCTGCAATCCCAGCTACCGGGAAGACTGAAAAAGGAAAATCAGGAGGCTGAGGCAGGAGAATTGCCTGAACCCAGGAGGCGGAGGTTGCGGTGAGCCGAGATTGCGCCATTGCACTCCAGCCTGGGCAACAAGAGCGAAACTCCGTCTCAAAAAAAAAAGGAAAATCACTGGAACCCAGGAGATGGAGGCTGCAGTGAACCAAGATCGAGCCACTGCACTCTAACCTGGGCAACAGAGCAAGACTCCGACTCAAACAAAACAAAACAAACAAACAAACAAACAAAAAACAATGATGGCGAATTATAGAAACTTTTGAAAAGTCAACATCTAAGGCAAGTCTTAGTTGGAAGACTGGAATCAGGGACCTAAATGAGAACCGCTCAAGCATTACAACATTACCTTTAATGAAGGATATCCGGAAATGAAGGAAAAAAGTTGACTTTTCTCTGAACAGAGATTTTTTACAGCTTCCATATAAACAAATTTAAGTAAACTTGAAATATATATTAACGTAGAGGAAAAGAGCTTTCATTTAAGAACAGATCTAAGTTTGTGCGCTAGTTCTGTTTGTCATACATCCTTCCTTGAGCATCACACTTTTCTCACCTGCAAGACACCATCCCGGCTGGGTGTGGTGGCTCAAGCCTATAATCCCAGCACTTTGGGAGGTCGAGAGGGGTGGGTCACGAGGTCAGGAGTTCAACACCAGCTTGGCCAACATGGTGAAACCCCTTCTCTACTAAAAATACAAAAATTAGCCGGGGGTGGTGGCGCTTGCCTGTAATCCTAGCTACTAGGGAGGCAGGAGAATCGCTTGAACCTGGGAGGCAGAGGTTGCAGTGAGCTGAGATTGCACCACTGCCCTCCAGCCTGGGCAACAGAGTGAGAGTCTGCCCCACCACACACCCCCAAAGAAAAAAACAAACAAAAAAACACCATCCCAAACTTATAAACGTCTCTTTTGATCCATACAAATCATAGTGTATGAGATCTCCTAAGTTATTATACAAATGACACAATATTAAAATCTTAGAGGAGTTTACCAAAATAAAGAATGGAGTTCGTTTTCTTAAGGTACTATACACATTAATTACAGTTACAAAAAAACTACGGAGTACGTGGTACTGGTGTAAACGGTGTCCCTTTACGGAAGGTAATGCTTTTTTTCCTTGTTCTGTCAAGTCTTAAAGACATTTGACATTTTAAAATATTTTTAAACCTTTCCGGAATTAGAAGTGGCATTTCGAACAGAGAAGTAACCGATCATCTATAAGTGTTTCATCTCTAAAGCTTGCTCTTTCACCCGTCTTACAGAAGGTCGTCCGAGAGTAGGCCCGCGACAAGCTCCCGCCCAAGCCCAAGACCCCTGGAGCGCTTCCGGGCCTTGGCGAAGAGGTCTGAAACCTTCGGCCAGCCACGAAGGAGGGACTGCTGCGCATGCGCGCCCCAACGCAACCTCTCCGGAGCTAGCCGTCTCGCTACGTCACCACCAGCCTCGCAAACTGCAACCGGCGGGAGTTTTTCAAAATGGGAGCGCAGAGGCACCGCCCAGGCCTTGGACGGTGTCGGGGAGAACTTTCCGTGGCTTTAGCGTCGTCGCCTGGAGCGGCGGCCTAGAGAACCGAGCCTGATGGGAGCCAAGACCGGCTGGCTGCTTGGAGCGTTGCCTCGAAGGGACTGCGTGAAGGAAGCTAATCCGGAGAACCCAGGCCGGGGCCTGGAAATATGGCGACCTGCATCGGGGAGAAGATCGAGGTGAAAAGACTCAGCAGTCTGCAGCTGGGCGGGTAGGAGTAGTTATGGCGGGACTGGAGACCGCCGTGGGAAGGGGAGCGAGCGAAGCTAACAGCTGCGGGGCCGGCGCCGAGGTGCTTAGGGAGGGTCCCAACCGCCGGGCCCCAGCTGTTTAGGGGCGGAGCGGCCCGCCCCTCAGAGACCGTAGCGGTAGAGGAGGCGGGACAGGTGAGTCCCTCGCCGCCCGACCGTGTCCCCAGGCACTGCCACTTGCTGTAAGCAATCCCGCCCGAGCTGCCGCGCTAGAACAGGGCAGAGCTACCTCCTGCTTCTCCAAGGCGATGACGGTTATCTCCGGCGGGAGCTGCGGCGGGATTCTGACCAGGCCTTCGGCTGCCAGGGGTTGGCTGGAGATGGGAGGAGGACGCTTAGGCTGCACTGAGGTTAAGGAACCAGATCACTAGGGTGCACCATCTCGAGTCCAGCCTGGAAGCTCAGGGATCCCCGCACTGAGCCAACATGACTTCCACCCTAGATACCTGCTGCATCGAGGTGTAATACCTGCTTGAATTATGTCAAATTCCCCTCTCGATCCATTTTATCTTCTTTTTTCAGCCCTTCCCATCTTCCTTTCTACTGTGAGTCATCACACATAATCTTTAATTTTAACTTTTAAGGATTTTAAAGTTGGAAATCTCCTTGGTAAAGGATCATTTGCTGGTGTCTACAGAGCTGAGTCCATTCACACTGGTTTGGAAGTTGCAATCAAAATGGTAAGAAACTAATCAACTTCTGTACTTTGCAAGTAACTACAGACGTGTCAGAGATGTCAGAAACTCCTTACACACTAGCCTTTCCTTTGATTGTGGCGTAAAGAACACTTTGCATAGGCAGAAGACAATAGTGCCAAGTCCAGCTGTTGAGCTTAAGAATATTTTAGGAAAGCCTTGACCTTGCTTAAATAAGTGTTTTATCTTCATTAATATTTAGTAGACCTAGTATATGGTGTAATTATGCATACTTGGAGTAATGAGTAGAAATCAACAAGTAATTCGTTTATAAGAGTAGACTGTGTATAATTCTGTGTTACACTGTAATAATGTAAAATATTATTCTTCATTGTTAGAAGTCAGTCTAATAGGAGTAACATAAACATAAGCAAATTTTCAGCCGGGTGGGTGACTCATGCCTGTAATCCCAACACTTTGGGACACGAAGGCGGATGGATCACTTGAGCTCAGGAGTTTGAGACCAGCTGTGCAACATGGTGAAACCTCCTCTCTACCAAAAATTAGCCGGGTGTGGCAGCTTGTGGTCCCAGCTACTCAGGAGGCTGAGGTGGGAGGATTGCTTGTGCCTGGGAAGTTGAGGCGGCAGTGAGCTGTGATCGTGCCACTGCACTCCAGCTTCAGTGAGGTAACAGAGTGAGACCCTGTCATTAAAAAAGAAAAAAACAAAGAATCTTTTATCTAAACCACTTGGAAAACGAAAGGGAGTTTTTGTTTCAAAGTTTGCCTGAGTTGGGAATTTTTTTCCCTTATAGTTAGGCTAGTTGTGCTATTAGATTATTTAAATTGAGAGAGGATATTAGAATGAATTGGGCAAACTTTTACTAAGCGTCCTCTCTGCCAAGCACTCTGCTAGGTGCATGGGGAAAACAGATAACAGTAGGTTGACTGCAAAGACATATAAAAGGACTTCAGACTATTTTAAATTAAAGTATACTTTGTTTTCAAAGTTCGCTTTTAACCTGTTTACATTTGAAAGTTTGTCAACATTTAAACCTGTTCTTTTTAGATAGATAAGAAAGCCATGTACAAAGCAGGAATGGTACAGAGAGTCCAAAATGAGGTGAAAATACATTGCCAATTGAAACATCCTTCTATCTTGGAGGTAAGATACTAATTTTATAGAAGTGACCACAGACACTGAATTTTTGTATATTTTAATTTATTACACCCTTTCACATTTCAGCTTTATAACTATTTTGAAGATAGCAATTATGTGTATCTGGTATTAGAAATGTGCCATAATGGAGAAATGAACAGGTATCTAAAGAACAGAGTGAAACCCTTCTCAGAAAATGAAGGTAAGCATCTGTTGTTTTTTTTTGTTTGTGTAGATAAAAATTTTGCTTTTAAAGTGTAGTTTTGAGGAATATGCTATTTTGTAATATATAGTAAAACTGTTTGAATTACTACTTTAGGCTAAAAAAGATTTCCCATGCTGCTAATTGTTAAAACAATTCAATTACTACAGTAGTAAAGTTAGAAATTTGTTGTCCTTCTGTCCTTAAAACCACATTTTAAATTAAATTATTGGTAGCAGTTTAGTGTAAGCTTTTTAGGATGCCATTGGTGGCTATAGAGTAGTTCTAAATCAAGCACAAATAGCCATTGAAACTGTTTATTATAGAAAATGTGAAACATATAAGTAATGTGCTATAGTGACTCGTGGTTATATTATTTCATCAATACTGTTTGTACTACCCTGATTTTCCGAAATATTTTGGAGCAAATTATAGACATTATTAACTTAAAATATTTCAAAATATAGACTTCTTTAAAAACATACTCAAAAAGTCATTGTCACACCTAATAATTCTTTACTATCAGATATATAGCATCGGACTTCCTCAATTTCTCGTAAATAATTTTTTGCAATTCAAAGCAGAATCAAATAATGTCTATACATTGACACAAGTAATTGTTTTCAAGTTATCTTGCTCTGCTAACTGAAATTACAGGTAAGTTAAGAGAGGTGGTTGCTGATAGGCTTCTTGTACATCTGAATCTTTGTAAGCCATTTGGAAAACAATTCGGGAATATGAATTTAGAGTTATGGAACATTTATATTCTTTTACTCAGATTCCATTGTTGGAATTTTATTCCAAAGAAATAATACAAATTGAAAAAAATCAATATACATGTTGATAATGACTACTGCATTTTTGCGTAATACTTCATAAGAAAGAGGACTTATTTGGCTGGCGCAGTGGCTCACACCTATAATTCCAGCATGTTGGGAGGCTGAGGCAGGACCAGCCTGGCTAACGTGGTGAAACCCTGTCTCTACTAAAAATGTAAAAGTTAGCCAGGTATGGTGGTGCAAGCCTATAATCCCAGCTACTTGGGAAACTAAGGTGGGAGAATTGTTTGAACCCAAGAGGCAGAGGCTGCATTGAGTGAGGATCACACCACTACACTCCAGCCTGGGTTACAGAGCGATACTCCCATCTCCAAAACAAAAAAAAAGAAAGAAAAGAAAAAGGCCTTATTAAATAAGACAGAACCTGTAAAACCTATAAAGGAAAATAATTATGAATTTGAATAAATTAGAATTTAAAACTTTACATGACAAAAGATACTAAAAGACAAAGATAGGAAGGAAACATTTGCAAAATGTACAACTAGAAAATTAGTACTGTATTAAAAGATATAAGACACACCTAAAAAGAAAAGCTAATTGAATAGACAAATGGACAGCTAATATGAGCAGACTATTCACAGAAGAGAAAATACTGATGACTAATAAACATATGAAAAGATGTTCAAACCCAATAGTAATCATGAGAATGCCAACCAAAATAATGAGGTACCATTATTTTTTATTCATCAAATTGAGGCTACTGAATGTTAACAGGGACGTACATGACAATATAAGCTTTTCAAGGGTAATTTTGTGTGGTATGACAATACTAAATTTTCCTATCCTTCAACCTCGTGATTCTACATCTTGAATCTACCATAGAGAAACAACGCATGCATATATTCAAGAAAATAAGCATGTACAGGAATATTTATTACCACATTTTTAATCTTGAAACTTTATAAATGATCCAAATACTCATCAATAGCAAGTAAAGATCTCTGGTACTGATATAGAAATATCTCTAAGAAATATTGTGAAGCGGGGAGAAAAGTAATGAAACTATATTTTTGATACCATTGTTGTATTTAAAAAGCATTTATTTCAGTGTATCTCTAGATTTAAATGTATGTAAGCATGCTGATGAAGGTATAAAACAAATAACAAACTGATTACTTAGGAGAGTTTGGGAGACGCGGATGGGACTTTAGCTTTTTTTTTTTTTTACAATTAGAATATATGTAGAAATTGTTTGTGCAATTGTTTGTTTTCTTAATTGCTATGGTTCTAAGCTCCAAGCCAGTGTTCTAATATAACACTCTAGCATATGTACCTGGGTTTCATAATGTTTACTAAATACTAGACACTGAATCTTCCAGACTTTCTAAATTGTAAATTCTCTTTTTTAATATCCTAACAGCTCGACACTTCATGCACCAGATCATCACAGGGATGTTGTATCTTCATTCTCATGGTATACTACACCGGGACCTCACACTTTCTAACCTCTTACTTACTCGTAATATGAACATAAAGATTGCTGATTTTGGGCTGGCAACTCAGTTGAAAATGCCACATGAAAAGCACTATACATTATGTGGAACTCCTAACTACATTTCACCAGAAATTGCAACTCGAAGTGCACATGGCCTTGAATCTGATGTTTGGTCCCTGGGCTGTATGTTTTATACATTACTTATCGGGAGGCCACCCTTTGACACTGACACAGTCAAGAACACATTAAATAAAGTAGTATTGGCAGATTATGAAATGCCAACTTTTTTGTCAATAGAGGCCAAGGACCTTATTCACCAATTACTTCGTAGAAATCCAGCAGATCGTTTAAGTCTGTCTTCAGTATTGGACCATCCTTTTATGTCCCGAAATTCTTCAACAAAAACTAAAGATTTAGGAACTGTGGAAGACTCAATCGATAGTGGGCATGCCACAATTTCTACTGCAATTACAGCTTCTTCCAGTACCAGTATAAGTGGTAGTTTATTTGACAAAAGAAGACTTTTGATTGGTCAGCCCCTCCCAAATAAAATGACTGTATTTCCAAAGAATAAAAGTTCAAGTGATTTTTCTTCTTCAGGAAATGGAAGCAGTTTTTCTACTCAGTGGGGAAATCAAGAAAACAGTAATAGTGGAAGGGGAAGAGTATTTCAAAATGCAGAAGAAAGACCACATTCTCGATACCTTCGTAGAGCTCATTCCTCTGATAGATCTGGCACTTCTAATGGTCAATCTCGAGCAAAAACATATACAATGGAACGATGTCACTCAGCAGAAATGCTTTCAAAGTCCAAAAGATCAGGAGGAGGTGAAAATGAAGAGAGATACTCGCCCACAAACAACAATGCCAACATCTTTAACTTCTTTAAAGAGAAGACATCCAACAGTTCTGGATCTTTTGAAAAACCTGATAACAATCAAGCACTGTAAGAATTCTATCAAAGGCGTTTTATTTTTTGGTAAACATTATACTAGTATAAATATGAAGCTGCATTTAAGCCGGGGTTACCAGGGAAATGAATGTCTTTAAATATGTATATATATACTGTCATGTTTCTGAGGTACTTCTCAATGATGATTTTTATTTATTATTAGGATGAAAATTAGAATAATGATTTGACCTGTGGTTAACAGTCTTAAAAGGAGTGAGTGTGTGTGTTCATGAACGTGTTTATAGGATTGCTTAATTTTTGGAAACTTTTAGTCTCATTTTTTAATTTTAATATGGACTACAAGAACTAAAAATATTCTACACTTCCCATTCTTCATTTTTTAATTTTAATATGGACTACAAGAACTAAAAATATTCTACACTTCCCATTCTTCATTTTTTAATTTTAATATGGAATGGGTCTCCAGTGCAAAGTATTATATATTAGTCATACCTTACTCTTAAAGTACTTTAGTAATAACTATATGCATAGATAGAAAAGCTGAGCCTGAGTGGTCATAATACTGACTGCTTCCAACATGAAAACTAATTTTTAGTGAGTATAGTGTGGTTTTTTTCTTTTTCTGGTCATTTTATGATTTTTATGCTTAAGTTATAAGAGGGCAGAAGCCTTATAGAAATGTTATCAAAGTGCCCTGGGCATTTTGGCGTGGGAGTTTAACTTTTTAGAGATAACATAGTTATGCCAATATTGTTTTCTATAGCTATTCTAAAATGTTCAGGTGTTCAAATCAGAAGAAATCTTCCTTTCCTAATATTTTTACTTTAAAAAGTTACCTGATAATTTTTTATTAGTTTATGGGATTTTTTTATTTGTTTGTTTGTTTAGCTCCAGTCATCTTTGCCCAGGAAAAACTCCTCTTCCATTTGCAGACCTGACACCTCAGACTGAAACAGTACAACAGTGGTTTGGGAATCTGCAAATAAATGGTGAGTTTTTAATGGAGTATTTAATCGAGAATTAATTACTTGGACACTTACCAATCATTGCAGTGTTCTATTTGAAGTTTTTAAAGAAAATCATTTTCTGGCTGGGTACAGTAGCTCATGCCTCTAATCCCAGTACTTGGGAGGCCAAGGCAGGTGGATTGCTTGAGGCTGAGAGTTTAAGATCAGTTTGGGCAACACAGTAAGACCCTGTATCTACAAAAAATAAAAAAATTAGTCAAGTGTGGTGGCATGCCCCTATATTCCCAGTTACTTGAGAAGCTGATGCAGGAGGATTGCCTGAGCCAAGGAACTCAAGGCTGCAGTGAGCTATGATCACACCATATGATCACACCACTGCACTCTGTGACCCTGCCTCAAAAAAAAAAAACAAAGAACATTGGCCAGGTGCAGTGGCTCACGCCTGTAATCCCAGCACTTTGGAAGGAAGCGAGGCAGATCACTTGAGGTCAGGCATTGGAGACCAGTCTGGTCAGCATGGTAAAACCCCATCTCTACTAAAAATACAAAAATTAGCTGGCCGTGGTAGCATACACCTATAATCCTACCTACTTGGGTGGCTGAGGCATGAGAATCACTTGAACCCAGGGAGGCAGAGGTTGCAGTGAGCTGAGATCATGCCATTGCACTTCAGCCTGGGTAACAGCAAGACTCTGTCTCCAAAAAAAAAAAAAAAAAAAAAAAAGCGTTTTCAGTTCATCTCAATAAAGCTGTATTACAATATTTGAATATTTGCTATAAGTCAGCCACTGTCCTTAATATTTAACATATATTAAGTTCTCACATAAAAACATGAAGAAGATACTGTTACTGTCTCCGTCTTACAGATGAGGAAACTGGGTACACAGAGCTTAATTTGCCCAAGCTATGTGACCATTCAGTAGAGGAGCCAGAGTTCTAATGTAAGTAGTCTGGCTCAGAGACTTTATTCTTAACCCCTCTGCTTTGCAACCTCTCAATAATCAGCACCTACTATCAGTGCCCATAAAATAATCAAAAGATGGTTGACCTTATTTTTAAGTAGAAGCTGATAAGGACATTATAGGGTACCAATGGAACCTCACACTGAAGAGCTCCTAAAACCTAAACATTTTTAAACAGCTATCATCCACGTCATTATGTTGTCTATAATACAGAATTTGAAGGTTAAACTTTGCTCATAATGAACATGACAGATTCACAGAAGGTGAGTTGGGAAATAATGACGTAAAAAAGAGAGAATAAAAAAGACATATGGAGAGGAGGAGATCATTTTTTACTAAGTGTCATATTACTTCGTAGACAAAAAGCACATAATACAACTGTAATTTAAGCAGAGAGTTATATGTTATCTTGAGTCTATTCTTGTTTTCTTTTTTTTAAATGTATATTATTTTCAGAAGCATAAAAGGAAATTAATCTTTTTATTTGTACTTCTTGGAGATGATAATTCAGGTTTGTTTTTTATAAACTATAAAACTGCCACGTACTTAATTTTGCACATCTGTTATGTTTACAGATACTTATATTCAGTAACACAGACTTGTCTGAGATAGAGAAATAACCTTGTTTATAATAATCCAGCAGTGCTCCTGCATTTTTTCAGTATATTATTTGACACAAAATACTTTATCATAACGAGAGTAGGGGAAAGCACTAAAAAAGTCATTTAAGAAAAATATTGCCGGGCGCAGTGGCTCAAGTCTGTAATCCCAGCACTTTGGGAGGCTGAGGCGGGTGGATCACGAGGTCAAGAGATCGAGACCATCCTGGTCAACATGGTGAAACCCCGTGTCTACTAAAAATACAAAACATTAGCTGGGCATGGTGGTGCATGCCTGTAATCCCAGCTACTCAGGAGGTTGAGGCAG